GATAATTTTAAAGCAATCAACAAGTCAGGTTGGGGTAGATGTGGAACAGACAGAACCGGCCTTTACATACTTGGTAGGCTTTCGAAACAGGATAAGCGGAAGAAGCTACGCAAACCAGAAACAAAAGCGACGGAAATTTGAAATTTCTGAATTCCAGTTTTTGGTGCTCTATTGATTTTTCCCCTTTCCGGTAGCCGTTCGGCCAAAGTCCCCGATGGCTCTGCAGCCTCTAGGGCTGATTGTGCCTTGATCCTCGAGTTTACAGTACCCAATCCAGCAGTCTAGTGTTCTAAACCAGTTGGTATAGTTTTCCTGCCAGTATTGTTCCAAATTCCCTCGGTTCAAGTTTTGATTTCCCGAAGAGTTGTATTTTGTGATCCAGCGACTCGTACTCACATAAGGGGCTGATTTCTGTCCCCTTATCGCATTGTGTGCATCATACAGTCCTATTTTGCTCAGGTGTTCTTTCAGGCCATTGTATCCTGTTAGAAGCCCAGTAACTGCACGGAGTTGGTTTCTACTCATTGAGAGCAGTTTCGCAGTCTTGATTGGACATGGTACCGAGATGAATTTTTTCTCATGCCTACATCCAGTCACAAATGCCAATGTTCCTTGTGCTGGTCTCTTTGGCTTGGTCCCTTATTGTGCTTGTTGGTACCTCCAAGACTGGTTCTGAGCCTGTATAGGGTGAGGATGATCCTTTCATTGCGAGCTCATTCGCCCTTTCATTTCCCGTTTACCTGAAAGTTCTGGCACCCGCCAGTGAGTTCAGTTCTTATTGGCATTCCCAGATCAGTGCAGATGTCACTCTAGGACTTCTTAAGGCTATGGGTGATGACTGACTGTCAGTGTATACGGTGATCCTTTAATTGCTCGCTCATTATTTACTCTTGTACAGTGCAAGATTGCATACACTTCTGCCTGAAATACAGAGGTGTATATTGTGCTCAGGATTGCAGCTGTTCCCATATATATATATATGCTCCTGTTCCCTGCTCAGTTTTTGACATGTCAATATACCAGGTAATTTCCCCTTGCAGATGTGCTTTTCGTGTTTCGTTCGATCTCCTATTTTGGTCTCCAAGTTCTTTTTGAACACAAATGTGGGAACTATGTGGTCTTTCCTCGCATCGAGTATGTCACTTCAACATGTTTCCTTATTTGGTTATGTCTTCATATATTCCCATTGGCTGTGACTGGTAGCCATTCTTGTGTCCCCAATATTACATATTGTTTCGGTGGGAGGTCCAGCATGGTTTCAAATGCTGCATTTGGGCGCTCTTCATTGCACCTGTTATCGGCAGGCAAGCAAGTCGTTATACCTTACTTGATTCTGCAATGCCAGAGCGTTGTTACATCTTTGTATATACTATTTTTCTCACTGCTTACTTTCAGTATCTGAAGCACCGATTTTAATAGTATTTGGAAAAAGATCAAGTAAGTTTTTTTTTCTTCAGTTCGAAAAAATTTCAACTCTTTCGGCGTACATTTTTTGCGAGTCTGAAATGTTTACAAACTCATGAAGGATGCAGAAATTCCCACAAGATTTGGAACAGAAAAGAGGTGTTGCCGCTTTAGATTCTTGTTTCTTGACTGTGTATCAAAATTAAACAGGGTTACGTATAAGGTATCACATTTTGCATAAATTTACGGCCGAGTTTTGTTGAATGCATCGTTGTATTTCCCTCTTCAACGACGAATTACTGTGACTTCTTTCTGCTTAAATCTGATAATATAGATCGAGATAACGGGTGGTGCAGCCCGTGAAATAATTCAATTGCTGCATGAGACTTTTCCTGGACGGGCACCCTCTTGTTTGTTACTGAAATGAGTCCCTAGATCATGTAATTTATGGGATTTCTTTTTATGATGTTAAGGTTTATGCTAACAAGCCAACATACAAACGTACATTGGAAGAGGCAATTCGATACAGCCTCAACGAAATTCAGTCAAATATTCATGTAAAATATGAGTAGTCATGTAAAAGTTCAACAAAACAGTGCGTGTGTGCCAGCAAAGCCGAGAAGCTCGTTCACCTGATATGTTCTTCCATACATAACCCTATCCTGTGTATAGGACTCCATTGTTTGGCCGAATCAAACCACATACAGTAATGGACAAAAGTATATAGTTAAATTAATATTGTGCTGTATTTCTTTTTTAACTTGTTTTATTAATACACCAACCTGTATACATGATTCGTTATAGCATAATACTCACTTATACATAAATAAATTCATTAGACTCCCTTCAATAAAAAATTAATTGCAAAAAACTGGAACTATGGACAAAAATATATAGACAATGCAAAACAATTATAGAAAAAAGAAGCAAAGTTCACTGAATTATAGAAAACGAACTGTTTGTGTTAATATTTTGTAGCATAACCATTATTATCAATCACCGTTTGGCATCGTCTCGGCGCAGATTGTAGAAGTTTCTTGATATAACATTCATCAATCTGTCTCCACTTTTGCTCTAAGCGGCAAAAAGTTCATCCTTGTTTGAATAATTTTTATCTCGTATTTGCTTATCTAAGTATTCCCATAGATTTTCAATGGGGTTTATATCGGGAGACTTTTTAATCCAGAAAGAATTTCTTTGCGAGATTTGAAGTGTGCTTCGGGTCATTATCTTGCTGGAAGATTGATCTTAAGGGCATATTGTCTTCCATATAGGGTAATATGACATGCTTTAGTATGTCTGTGTATACAAACTTATCCATAATGCCATCTATTCTATGCCAAGGTCCCATCCCAAACCCCGAAAAGCACCCCCAAACCATAACAGACCATAACAGACAGTGGGCAAAGTGTACTTGGGGTTCAATCTTTGTCCACTAGGACGTCGGACGTAATGAACACCATCTGATCCAAACATATTGAACTTTGATTCGTCACTGAAACATACCCTCTTCCAGTCACAGATGCTCCATCAAGATGCAACCGTGCAAATTGTAATCGGTCCTTACGGTTTTTCCTCGAGATTAGCGGCTTCTTACTCGGGCGACGTGCAAATAACTTCAAATCATTTAATCTTTTACTTACAGTTTTCGTAGAAACACTGGCAATCCTTTTTGTCTCGATTTCGGGTTTTATTTGTCTTGGGGGTTTTAAACGGATCTTTGGACGAAATTACTTTTATTAATCTAACTGATCTAGCATTTAGTTTTCTAGGCCGACCACTTCTCTTAGAGGCTTCCAAGATACCTTTTTGTTTATATTTTTTTCAATATTGCCCAAACTGCTTTACGCTTCAGCTTCAAATTTTTGGCAATGTCGACTTGACGTTGACCATCTTTATATAACTCAATGATCGTAGTTTCAACATCGAAAGAAATTTCTGGACCACGCGGCATGGTCTTAAAATCACTCAACTTATTCCACAATACCTGATGAACACAACCTAATCCTCTTCTGACACGAAACTGTACTAAACTAATGTTGAAAAGAATTTGTCTACATAGCTTTATCCCTCATAAAAAAGTGCTTATATTCAGACTTGTCTTGTGTTCATTGCAGATAATGTAAAAACAAGGAATTTAATTTTTCTACTAATAACGCATTTGTTTATGGAGCAATGAAGTATGAATTCGTTTTCTAAAGGTATTTAGGTAAATATTCATATTTGTCTATATATTTTTGTCCATTACTGTATATGTGGTTTGATTCTGCCAGATGATGGAGTCCTATGAACATGAAAACCACAAGGTAAGTTCCAGGAGTTATATTAACCTATCCTGTGTACTTTACTTTTCAATCGAAAAAAAAAATCTCAAGATTAAAAACTTTGTTTTCCAGTTAATCCAAAACTTGCGTGGATTTTGGGCCACCCTCTATTTTCAGTTTTACACATGCATATTTTTATTACGTTTGTATACGAAAATAAATCTCTATCTGTATTAATACGTAGGGAGTACAAGTTTCTTCATCCAATTTTTCGAATATTATGAAATTTTCAATTTTTTTGTTAAAATTAATTTTTGATAAAATAAATATCTCCAAACTGATATATTGATTTATTTGCTTTTCAGTTGTAACGGGTTTTCACTATTTTTACTAGACTATATGGTTCAATATCGTGCCGAAAGTATAGCGTGCAATGAGCAGTTGAGAAAATTGGCTATTATCGCGCAAAGGGTAACAGGTTATTCCGGTAATCGCATTTCGATTATACATATGGGTTATGTATGAGGAATAGTCGGCTTTAAAAAAGCTAAAGCTAGACCATGTTTAATACACCGGTATATTGCCATTTTGTATATTAGTAACCATGCCCACGAATAACTTTGTAGTAAAATCTGTATAACATATGCCTAAGCTAAACTTCGCCTGAAAAAAGTGGTTTATTATTAATATATTCCTATTGAAACTGCTGTAGAAAGCTCAGTACGAGGAAGCTCTTTGAGTTGTCCGTTGGCCATCCTACCAAAAATTGTCGAGTAACTTCAATAAACTAGAAAACTGTCATGATTTTTATGCCCTGAAGCCAATAAACAATAAAAAAAAGACGCTGCCACGAGAAGATTGTCTATCTCAGTAAGGAGATTCAGGCAATATAAGTAGGTCCAAAAAGCTTCAGAGCACTGGGACTTACTTTTTAAAGACAATACTAGGATGTCGGAGGTAATCCAGATTTATCTGAAAACAATTGAAGATACCTCATCGATCGAATTAAATCTCTTGGAATTAAAGAAGAACCGAGGCAATTCATGGGATCCGAGGGATTTCAAAGAGATTTTCTATCCCAGTTGAAGGGTATCTAAGGCAATCCAAACAGATTTTTTATTCCAACCTGAGGTCAGGAACAATTTAAGAAGATTTTAGGCATTGTAAGAAGACCCGGATCTATTCAAGGTAATATCTGAATCTGCGCAAGCGCTATTATAGCTCATGATTTTTAACCTTCCCGGGAGCCTTTCAACCAAAGTACCCGATTCATACTTTATCTGAGGCCTGAATTAAGTTATGAAATAAATCATAAGTCGAAAAAAATCCTACCTGTTGCATTTTCTCAAAATCCAAATACGGCCTTTGTTGCTGCTCTATCTCTCCCTCTGCCAAGCTCATGTGGTGCCTCCTTGTCCTTTTCCTTGGAGATGCCTCCAAGTGTGCCAGTTTGGCAGGTGGAGGGCTCGCCGTCCTCCCCTTACCTCTTGAAGCAGCTGATGGTTTGACAGCTGACAGGGGCGGAGAGGTACGAAATCGTACTGGGGTGGCCGAGGCCGATGAGGTAGGTGTCACTGTTGTCGTTAGTAAATGGACCTAAAAGAAAAAAGTTGATTTCAGATCACCCAATATTTCACACACATTGACTTGACCTATCATCAGCCCCCACGCTACAACCAACAGCGTTGACAATAATCCTTACATCAACGTTATTATGTTGGAAACTAAAAAGTGGCGTCATGTAAGTTGACTCTGTACTTCGCACGCTACGCTGTCAGTTCAGGATTATGTTTTGCACAAGTTGGCCCTTCTGACAAAAAGTATAACTGAATGACCTTCCTCCTCCCACCGAGAGGAATTGCTGTAGGTGCAGATGATCGGTGCGATGATCAATCCCGCGTGAATGACGATATTGGCCTTGCACACCATGTGCAGTTTACGCAGCTGACAGTAGTATGGAAGTGATTGCCGACTGTGACGTACGACCACCGATGACGATGCTTGTCCATCGGGGGACCACGAGTTTTAAGGGTAAATGATGAGTGAAATATGCCTAATATGTGAATAGAATTGCCGGGGTTGGAGGCGTATAAATAAACCAACGTCAAAAATTGAACTGTATCCTCCCCCAGCTCCTACAACCCCTACCCGCAATCAAGAACCCCTACGGAAATTTTTTCGAAAATGATCAGGATTGTCTAAAACATCAAAAAACGATTTAATTTTTTTGTTTTTGGCCTTTTTCTCCGCCACCACTTGACCAATTTTCAAAAACTACAAAGCTTTTAATCGAAATTCGAGCGGTACTTCTCAAGCTCTGGGCGGCTATAAGATTAGCGGACAGACAGACAGACCAACGGAAATGAGTGACATAGTTTTTCGAGATGTAGATGTCATAATACATATGTATAACATCCAAAAAACATATCTCATTTTCGAAAAATTCCGCGATCACAATACTTCTCCGCCAGTAGGCGTGGTAAGTAAAAGTAAAAAGCAAAATACGAGTGGTTTTTATGGACAAGCTTCAAAAATGTATTTAATGATTCAAGTGAATATCATTCGCGATTTAATTTGAGCTCTTCTTAAAAAGGTAAAGCATGTATGGTTCTAGATGTTGGTTAGCAATATAAATAACTTACCTCGTCATCTGAAGACCCTGAGTGTTCTAAATAAACTCCATCTTCTCCATAGCATTTCAAATATGGCAGACATGGCGACGATGGACTTAGATTACCATAATGTGACATATTTTCTTCGTTTTCTGGGGTATACCTACAAAAAAGGTATATAACAACAAAAACCTATAAAAGATATATTAATGTTCCTTGCTAAACTTTAGCATTACGTATGACTGATTTTTTTTTGTTATCTTTTGAGAGTCATCCAATCTGTTTACTCTATGACACTCTCTTTCACACGCGATGTGCCAACGGAGTTTGGCTTGTGGCTTGTCCATCATGATGTCCTTTCTAACATCTGTAAAATGCATTCGCCAGTTTGTGGCTTCCCATTTGTTTCGGCCATTCTCTGAACCAATAACTGGCCACCGTTACATACACCATGTTCCCTGACGATTTCGTCAAGTCTGCCAATAGCGTTTTCTTTTGGTGAAACTAGTATTGATCTGATGCATACTTGATGTTAGTTTTCAAAACCAGTGTAAGTATAGATTCATGTTTTTCTGGTACCCAGTTCGAACTAGTTCTGCACTCAACGGATAAATGTCGCATGACCTGAAGTACCTCGTGATAGTGGTGTTAACTGTTAACAATGCCACACCTTACAACTTCCACTTATAGCTTTGTCTTTTTACAGACAGTTCTTGCATAGTTTTCTCTTTCATTCTAAAATTTGCCATAGTACACGGGAATGTTCAACGAAATGAATTTTTTCATTGTCACACGATAGCACGAGACCCGAAATGAGAGATGTTTTATGTTCTTTTGGGAACCAGAGCAGAAACACTGAAACTGGATCAGTTTTATCAAAAGAAAACGCTACCTTTGCCGATTCTGTGAATAGTGATGAGTTCAAGAAACTATCGCAGTATCCAATATTTAGGTTGCCTAGGTACGGAAAAATTTGCGTTTCGCACTATATGTAATTCAAAGATATGCATTAACATAACCGTAATGCGAAAAAAGAAAGCTTATAACACATGTTTCGAACCACTGAGCTCTTTGATTTTCCTGGTACTGCTCTTTGCATTGTTAGATATACAGGGGGTTTCAGAACTATGGGATCAAACTTGTAGGGGTTATTCAGTGTAACAGTAGAAAACATTTGAGTATATGGACCCATATCCGGAAAAGTGTCACTACGGCACTAGGGCCCTAAGACGCGTTAAAATTTAGAAAGATGATGAATTGTCTAAATAGGATTTCATGCATTTAATGTTTGCCTTTTGTACATGATATCATCACAACAATTGTTCAAAATGTCTTCCTCCAACCTGAATACACCGTTCCTGTGAGGACATGTAAAGTCTTTGGTTTACGAAACTCCAATAGACATAGAGCAATACTTAATTGGACGAATTACAGCAGCATTTGAAATCATTGAAAACGAGTATCAAATTGTTAGTCAAGTCCGCCGAAATCATAATGTGCGACGTTTAAATCGGTGTATTCAGGTTGGAGGAAGACATTTTGAACAATTGTTGTGATGATATCATGTACAAAAGGCAAAAATTAAATGCATTAAATTCTATTTAGGCAATTAATTCACTGTCTTTCTAAATTTTAACGCGTCTTAGGGCCGTAGTGATACTTTTCCGGATATGGCTCCCTATACTCAAATGTTTTCTACTGTTACACTAAATAACCCCTAGAAGTTTGATCCCTTAGTTCTGAAACACCCTGTATATCATTTCAGATGCAACGATTTTATCTGGAAACACTAGTGGCCGAAGCGCCGAATATTTGACACCGATTACCATTTCTAGTTTCACATTACGCGCATGACAGGTTACGACCTGTCTCTCAAGAAATGTCGATGAAAATGATAAAATCGTAGAAAGGCACGACCATTCCTGCAGTTGCTTTTAGGAAGCCGCTACAGAAAATATGGCCAAAGTTGGGGATGGGGAAAAGAAAAGTGCTATTTTTATCTAAAAAATGGCTCGCCTAGATCGGACATCAGACTCTTACAAAAGATGGTCAGCAAACGTGCAATACCAAAAACTGACAGATATTGTCAAAATCGTTATTCCAGGTAGAGCTGTATGCAGAGATTTTTTTAGAAACGGGTATAGTTTATGAGGAAAAGCGGAATTAATTGCTGTTAGCAAATGCTGAAAAAAAATTTGAAATTCATCACAAATCACTTCTAATTAATTCTATGATTTAATTGTAGTCCTTGTTCGTTTTTGAGTAGTTACAAATGTGTGATTTTGTTTGATGATTTGGTATTCGGCCGAATAGTTCAAAATATCCACATGAACACCTAACATTAAAAAACCTAGCCGAATAGGCCAAATGCCGACTAGTAACAGAATATTCGTTTTCCCTATTTTGCACAAGATCAGCTTGAACCCAGATTTGCATTGATAAATAAAATAAATCCAATAATGTGACGTATGCAATATTTCTGAAGATATATGAAAATTAGGTCACATGTCGATGAAGATACATTTTTTATTGGATATTTCTATTATTCAGAGAAAAAGTGTCTATTTATATTTTGCAATGTATCATTCACTACCCATCGTGACGTAGATATGCATATTTCTAGTGATGTTATAATCGACTCTCTATGACTAAAATTCTTTTTCTCTAAAACGGTTTCAACTTTGTAAATCCTGTGACATAAGCCATCTCATCAATTATTTCTTTCATCCTTTGAGATTCTTTTACAGTATATTCAGATAAGAGATAGACCGGATGTAAACAAAAGGTTCGGGTGATTTTCACGCTAACGCCGCCGTCTCGACGTAAAACAGGAGCCCTCATTGGTCAATTCGCAATTAAATGCCTATGCCGAGCGGCAGAGCAGTCGTTTCAAGGCAGAGTCACATTCAGGTTCAGACGTGTTACGTATGTCGTGTGCATCATTGCAATTTGATATTTCTTTGGACGTTTTCGTTTGTTATCTTATTAAGTTGTTGAGTTTGTCGTTGTTATTGTTATACCTTGTTATTGGTTGTTATTGTTATCAACTGCTTGCGCAAAATGCCCAGTAGTACAGATACTGCCGATGAAGTTGTAAACTCCTGTAGTCCACCTAGGAAACGCTCTAAAAAAAGACACCTGAGTGCAGAAATGAAAGAGGTCATTTTGAATATATATAAGATCGAGCGCGAGGAGAACGAGGCATCAACCATCAAAGAAATTGTTGTGAAGGTTTCTCACAAAGTTGGGGTGTGTCGCGCATCAGTGTTTAATGTGTTAAGACAATACAAAAAAAATCACACCTTTTCTGAGCCAATGACCAGTAAACATCGCAAAAGCATTATTAAATCATTGGATGAAGCTGATAAGCATGCGATTAGGAGGAAAGTGCATGAATTCTTCTTTAGGAATGAAATACCTACTATAGATAAAGTACTGCAGGAGGTAAATGGAGATACAACGTTGCCAAATTTCAAACGATCAACTTTCCATGCGTTACTGAAGCATTTAAATTTCAAATGGAAAAAACGGGGTCGTAATAGTTTACTACTGAATAGAGAAGAAATTGTGCTATGGAGGAGGGATTATTTAACAAAAATTGGGAAATATAGAAATCAAAACAGGAAGATTTATTACCTTGATGAAACGTGGGTAAACGCAGGACACACTACAAGTAAAGTATGGGTTGATGATTCTGTAACTTCATCCAGGAGGGCCTTTCTAGATGGACTGTCCACCGGATTAAAAAATCCAGCAGGTAAATACGAGTAATAGACAACAATCGGATGTTTTTCAAACCTTGGGAACAAGGTTCTACACATTAATTCCAGGGGGCAGATAAAACATATTACAAGTAACAAAACTTTTATAACTTTCGATAAAATGCGTGGATGTTTTATTGTCATTTTCATTTGTTAGAACTTTTTTAAGCCATGTTTTTATGTGTTTTCGATATTTCAATAATTTTTTAATATAATCTTAAAATATGTCGAATATTATAAACTTAAAAAAAGTTACTAAGTTTTATATTGTGTACCGTTCCTAATATTTCTAATCATTTTAATTCATACTTTAAGCTTTATAAAGTTATAATTTGTTAATATTAATATTTGCGCGTATTTCAGGTTCCTGATCATTCATTTTTTAAAGGTTTATAACTTTAAATTAAATTGTGAAGCGCTGAGTAATCATACGACGTTCAATATTCTTTCTTTCAATATGACTAAATAATCCCAATTATAGCAATCTGATACTCATGTCTCAAGGTTTTTTCGCTGAATGTGATGAAAACATTTGAAAAAGGTTCGCTTATTGAAATAAATCTACACCAGTTAGTACTTCGATCTCCAGGTAAAGGGAAAAGGCTCATTATCTGCCATATTGGCAGTGAGGATGGATTTGTTGTTGACGGTCTGTGGTGCTTTGAGTCTAAGAAAACTGGAGATTACCACGAGGAAATGAATGGCGAATCGTTTGAACAGTGGTTTTCAAAAATTTTACCGAACTTAGAGGAAAACGCAGTAATTGTGTTGGATAATGCGCCTTATCGTTCTCGAAGAATGGAGAAGGTCCCAACAACGGCTTCAAGGAAAGTTGATGTTCAAAATTGGCTCCGCTCGAAAAATATCAACTTTGAAGAAGCAATGCTGAAAGTACAATTATTAAGAATTGTCAAGGATCACAAGGCGGAATATCAAAAATACGCCATTGACGAAATGGCAGCAAGTCAAAATAAAACTGTGCTCCGTTTACCTCTATACCATTGCGAGCTCAATCCCATTGAGCTCATATGGGCAGAGGTTAAAAATTATATAGCTAAGCACAATACAACTTTTAAATTTTGTGACCTCAAAGGACTTTTCAAAGAAGCACTAGAATTAATAACAGCGCAAAAATGGGAAAACTGTATTAAGCACGTGAAAGACAAAGTTGAAAAGAGAATGTGGGAACTGGACAATATTTTAGAGGAACAAGTCGAGCCATTCATTATTGACGTTGGTGCTTCAGGCAGTAGCGATGATGAAAGCTCATCAAGCTCATCTTTCCAATAAAAGATGTCGTTCATCAAATTTGGTAAGTTATAAGTAATTATAAAGCTACTGTATTTTTTAATTAATTATTGACATTTTTGAACCCATTTTGGCAAAACCTATTCAAGAATCTACTTTCTGACAATGTTCAACCATGCACATTTTTTTACGTTTTGAACGTTTTAATTTGGTTACATATTTACCTAGAAATCAAAAAATATACTAATCAATATTCTAAAAGCAATTTTAAGAGATATACGATTATTTTTAATTTAGGCTAATTTAAACGCCATTTTGATATTATATTCGACTGTATTTCACCAAACATCAGGCGGCATCCGAAGCTGGAAATCGAAGCGAAAATTTTGAAACCCTTATGTATATTTACATCATTATATATTTCTTACCCCACCCCCACATGATCCTATATCTATCACCAATCGTATACACATCGAATTGTGCTAATTTACTACAAAGTTACGCAAAGCAGCATCTACTATCTAAAATATGTACTGCGTGACTCTTAATACGTCCCTGCCGAATGTTACAGCGTTCGATGATCACGTGGTCTTGTTTATGTCCGGTCTATCTCTTAACTGAATATACTGTAGTTATTTGTAAAAATATCTGATTGATACTTTTGACCCTTTGAATGAGTAGTGTTTCACAATTTTTCAAGTTTGACGAGTTTTGAAATCAGCCATATGCTGCACCAAAACGTATGTTGTCGTCGATGCTGCTTTTATTTCTCCGTGTATCTGATTACAGTAATAATGTTAGTACTTACCTCCTACCACCGTACGCTTCCACAACCTGAGACCATTTCCTCTTTTCGGCTAACCCTACAGATGCTGCCCTTAAAGGCCTTCCTCCTCCCCGTCCCACTCCGGTTCCTTTACAACCCTTATTTGGTAAAGTCCTATGGAGAGAACTCTCCTTGCCGTTGATCACCTAAACATAACAAAATTCCATCTCTGAGAGCAAGAAACAGGCAATGAAGCTATAATTACGGGTCATGCATGCTTTGATATACAGGGTGGGGCAAAAGTCACGAAGGGATTTGAAAAATTAATAACTTTTTTAAATTTATTTTGTTTTCATTTTTTTTTTCAGGACCGTGTAAAATAAATCCTGGAGATTAATTATGGAGCGTTACAACCTCAATCAACGAACCAAACTTATAGAATTTTATTTTGAATATCACCATTCAATAATTCAAACTCAACGAGCATATCGTCGTCATTTCAATTTGCGGAATTCGCCCTCTGAATCAATGATTCGACGCTTAGTGGCACGATTTCAGCAACAAGGCACAGTTATGGATCTCCCACGAAGCGGAAGGCCACGTTCCGCAAGAAATGAAGGGAACATTCAACGCGTTCAGGAGAGTGTTCAGGAGAATCCGGAAACCTCAACCCGAAGACGTTCTGCTGAGCTGCAGATGTCTCAAAGGTCTTTACGCAGAATATTAAGAGGAAATTTACATCTGTTTCCATATAAAGTGCAGCTAGTGCAAGAACTAAAACCAGCAGATTTTCAAGAACGACTAACTTATGCAGTTCGCTTGCAAAGAATGGCTCGAGAAGATAATGAATTTATTCATTCTCTGATCATGAGCGATGAAGTGCATTTTCATTTGAATGGCTTCGTAAATAAGCAGAACTGCAGAATATGGGGTACCGAGAACCCAAGGGTGGTTCATCAAAGGCAATTACATCCGCTTAAATGTACAGTATGGTGCGCAGTTACGTCTCAACGAATTATTGGACCATTCTTCTTCGAAGACCACGATGGGAATGCTGTATCTGTAGATGGCGACCGATATCGTGATATGATTCAAAATTTCTTAAGACCAGCTCTTGCTGACAATCAAACGATGACTTTCCAACAAGATGGAGCCACTGCGCATACTGCTCGAGCCACTATGCACCTTCTAAGGCAGATTTTTGGCGAACGTTTAATTTCGAGAAATTCAGGATTCAATTGGCCCGCCCGCTCGCCGGACTTAACAGCCCCTGATTATTTCCTTTGGGGATATCTGAAAGGAAAAGTGTATATTAATAAACCCACAACCCTGCAGCAACTAAAAGATAATATTCGAGCAGAAGTAAGTGCTTTGGGGCCAGATATTCTGACTCGGGTAATGGAAAATGCTCTTGCAAGAGCTGCACTTTGCGAGGCTGAAAATGGCGGTCATTTGCGTGATGTAATCTTTCACACTTAAATTGTAAACAAACTCCAAACATTGCATTTTAGTTTTGTGTTAGGGAAAAAAATTAAAATTAAAATTTAAAAAAGTTATTAATTTTTCAAATCCCTTCGCGACTTTTGCCCCACCCTGTATAATCCAATCATATGAAATATAGAGTGTGAATAGGCTAAGTCATAATAGTTATCAGAGAAAAATAAAAAAAAAACCAAGTCGTGTACTTTTCAAATTATAGGCTTCCATTACTACAAATTTCATTTTTTTTTCTGTATAATTAAAAATGCAGAAAGTTTATTACTATTAAGCTTGCCAGCTGCGTTTTCGGACTTGCTTGCTATCCAAAAGTAATCTTTGCCATACTCATCAACCGTATAGTTTTGAAATTACCCTACCGGTACATGAAAAAGGTGTTCTTGGACGTATGTCCTCAGATATTTTAGGGCTGTAGTGTGGAAATCCTAAAATGAACCAAGAATTCAAAGTAGGTAGAAGGAGCCAGTCAGGGATTTACTTGCCTCCTTATTCTCTTAGTCTGTAGTGAGGATCACTTGACATGGATGAATTTTTTGACATTTACGTCATTGAATTGATATATACATTTTTAGTGCGACTGTTTGCAGATAATTGTGGTGTTAGATGACTTCTTACATAATTTGCAAAGAGCGGCAAAAGCGTAATGAAGGAAGATGTTTCCATTGGTAATTATTATGTTTATACAACGCTGTCACTTTGGTAGACATTTGTAGACACAAACGAGTCAAAAGTGTGCATTAAGAATACGCCATTTTGGCGACAAACAGTGCAAGAATAGCTCCATCTAATGTATTCGAATTCGTGGGTATTGACAGATTAAACATAGTATCTAAACTTTGTAGAAACTTCGATGAAGATATCGTATTTTTGAAGCAGTATACAAATATTGCGTGAAAAAAATTGTTGGAGTTTAAGCCACGTTAAACATTAAAACATTTCAATTTTTTTAAATCACCTCAAGTTCTTCTTCCGAACTATGTGCATCATGCTGCTCCCCGCAACACGTCCCTGTAGTAACTTCTGGAGCCGGGGATTCCAATGAACACCCTGTGTCTGCAGGGGAAATACTGCAGACCCTACTGTAGTCGGACGCTGTAAAAAACAACCAATTAAACTAAAGTAGTGATATACAAAACTGATTCGAAAATATGATGTGTGTTGGCTATAATATTCATAAAATTATATCGGTTAGAAGACCCGATGCATGATAATTGAACCGCTCTTTGCAATTCTATCATCAATTAAATTATATTCGGTTTATTTCCAAACCTAATTTATGACAGAAAAATAAGGAAAATTGACCAAATCAGTCGTATGGGAAATAATTCCATCGATCATTTCATTTTTGTTTATACATGATCTCGGAATAACATGTCAATTTCTCTCGAATGCATATAGAAAGCAAACAAATAAGGTTTTTTAGGTTATCCTGAACAAAAAACGTTCTTCGATAAAGGTCATAGTTTTCAAGATATAAGCCATTTAATATACCTGTGAAGAAGTGTAAAATATGCTATTTTCGACCCCGAAAAACAGTATAAAGAAACGAAAATTTTAGCATTACCAAAGTTCCCAAATATTCTTCGATTAGCAAAATACCAGCATTTTAGGGGGTACTGTAAACCTTTGTTTTTAATTATTAACCAAGCGCGCGCTCACGTTGAATTTATTCATTGTGAGCGAACTTGATTTTTCGTTTTTTCATATTGTTTTCCGGGATCCAAAAACGGCATTTTTGCACTTTTTCAAATATCAAATCACTTATATCTCGTTAATACCATGAATTTTAGAGAAAAGTTTACGAGAATCTTTTTTGTTCCCAATGGAAATTCAAAAAACTTTAACCGGAGCGAAAAAAGCAATTTATGAAATTTGTTCAAATAATTTTGGGCACGGCAACATTCAGAGGAGTAATTACTTTTTAAACGACTGCGACAACTAGAGGGCACACCGAAAATGCCAAGTTAAGTTATGTAAGATACTTTTTGACAAAATACGCACGAAATCAAAACCCACGCAGGTCGGCAAGATGAGTGAGTTCTATCCCACTTCTGATATTATATTCTAAAAATTTTGCAAATGACACTCATCAACAGCCAAAAAATATCCTAAATAAAATCAACAAAATATTACTATTTTTAATGTGCTAAAACCGGAATGAAAATTATTTTTTCAATATTAGTTCAAGTTTTAGAGATACGGTAATTATATGTGTTCCTGCTGTGACAGTGTTAATATACTGTAATTCACAAGAATGCACGTACTACATTTTTATATTCGGCAAGGAAAGATGATGTAATCGGCATGATTGTGTTACGTTATACATACGTGTACACTATATTGTTTTATATTAGCCATTTTTTCCTCAGCTGGCTGACAGCGTTCATGCAAGATGTCTCGAAAGTGTGTAAACAATCCAGATCAGTTTTGTTACGTGTGTGGTGATGTGACTTTTGCGTCTCAGAGACGGTCTATTACTCCACTAATAGCAAAGGCATATCAGCTTTATTTCGGTTGTAAACTAGGTGATCAAGACAAACAGTGGGCACCCCATCATCTGCTGTAATACATGTGCTTCAAGTCTGAGGAGCTGGTTAAATGGCAAAAAACGGTCTATGCGCTTTGCTGTCCCAATGGTTTGGAGAGAGCCTACAAATCATATTAATGATTGTTACTTTTGCATGGTACCTTGTGTTGGACAAGCCACAGGTATGTCCAAGAAAAAAAAATCGGTTATTAACTACCCAAACATACCATCTGCGATGAGACCTGTGCCTCACAGTGACGAAAATCCTATTCCAAAACCCCCAGAATCCTACACTTGCGAATCAGAAAACGAATCAGATCATGGCGATCGAGTGATTCGTCAGGAAGAAGATATGCCATCAACGTCAAGAGATCCTGATTTTATACCGAGCACGTCATGCCACCAACCGCACAAAATAACACAGTCAGAATTAAATGATCTTGTAAGAGATTTAGAACTTCCAAAATGTAAGGCAGAGTTACTTGGATCAAGACTGCAGCAGTGGAACTTGTTAGAAGACGATGTTTCGGTATGTGTTTTTCGTAAACGTCACAAACCATTTTTCAATATGGAGAATAACTTGGTTTTCTGCAGTAACATTAACGGCTTACTGGCGGCTTTAAATATAAACTATAACCCAGAAGAATGGAGATTGTTTATAGACAGTTCAACATTGAGTTTAAAGGCAGTGTTATTGCATATTGGATATTTTACCATCTCTTCCTGTAGGGTATGCAGTTCACCTGAAAGAATCATATGACAATATGAAGTACCTATTGACATGCATAAAATACGATGAGCACCAATGGCATATTTGTGGCGATTTGAAAGTTGTTGCACTTTTACTTGGGCTGCAGCTAGGCTACACAAAGTTTTGCTGTTTTTTGTGTGAATGGGACAGTCGGGCAAAGGCACTTCATTACACCAGACAAAACGGGACTGTTCGTCAATTCCTAGAGCCAGGTCAAAAAAATGTACAGCATATGCCATTAGTAGATTCGAAAAAAATTTTATTACCACCACTGCATATCAAGTTGGGCCTAATGAAAAACTTTGTCAAGGCATTAGATAGAGATGGGTCAGCTTTTCAATACCTGCGTCAGAAATTTCCAAGACTAAGTGAGTCAAAGGTTAAAGAAGGTATTTTTGTTGGGCCACAGATTCGAAATATTTTAAAAGATACACAGTTTGAAAACACTTTAACAGGTATTGAAAAAACTGCTTGGAATGATTTCAGTCTGGTGGTCACTAATTTCTTGGGAAATAGAAAAGCTGACAACTATAAAACCCTTGTCAAAAATATGCTGTCATCGTATCAAAAGATGGGCTGTAATATGTCTCTTAAGATACATTTCCTACACTCACACCTGGACTTTTTTCCTGACAATTGCGGAGCCGTAAGTGATGAGCACGGCGAACGTTTTCATCAGGATATTTCAACAATGGAAAAAAGGTACCAGGGAAAGTGGAATCCTTCCATGCTTGCAGACTACTGTTGGACTCTTGGTAGAGATGCTCCAGAAACGATGCATAAAAGAACAGCAAAAAGACAGCGCATATAGTGATTCTTATAAGTATATGAATCTTGTTACTTTTTTTAATATATCCTTAAAAATAAAAAGTTTTTTTTCTAAACCGCAACTAATTTTTTTATTTCATTGTCATTTTTGGATTCAGCGCCCCAAAATTAACAAAGAAGTGCACTTTTCCCACAAGATACAATTAAAAAACTAAAATTTGTTGTCCAGTGTAATTCAAGTCATTCAAGTCAAAAATAAATAGGATTTTTTTTCAGCGTTAGGGGGTTCAGACTTCTCCAAGCGTTCATACCTCTGATCCTTGTCAAAGTAGTGTAAACGACGAACATTATTATGAACGACGCAGTTGTACCGACTCTGCTCTTCAATAGCCTATAAAACTAGGATTTTTTCAACACTAATATACGTCAAGAGACAAATATGTAAGATTAGGTTTTAGGTCAGCAACTTTAGCGACGTTTTATGTGCGGAGCATATCCGTCAAATTCGATAACCATACAAGAAGTTGTGGATATAATGTAGTTTGTTGGCGTTTTAGATTTTAAGTAAGCATTAGAAAGGAGTTTTTCTATAATGCTTCTCCTTTCGTAATCAAGTACTGTATCATCACTCCTATAGTATGTTCCAGGATGTATTGGCACATCAATCTTAAATTCTGCAGGACCAACGAAGCTCCAGACTTAATAAAGATATTCACAATCAGCACACGAAGTCAGTGTAATGACCGTAATACTATTTAAATGCAAACAATCCTATTGGGTTATGATTACTTTGTAAGCTTGTTTTAAATTTTTCATTTTCCAAACTTGTTCTGTAGGTGCCCGTAGAATTTATGATTGTTCTCTCGAGTGAACGACACGTCTCTCACGTGGAATCGTGATCGATCGCTGGAGAGCGTTAGTCATGGTGAAAAATTAATCATAGTAACTATAAAATCACGGCCATTGTTCGAGCAGACATAAAATGGCTCGCCATCGAGATCAAGACGTTCGAATCATCATAAACAAAAAGTTAACAGCTTCGAATAACAATAATCATTTTATGGTGAACGTTATTATAGTATGTCGAGCGCTGCGCTATTCAGACTCACACTCGATTCTCTAAATAAGGAAATGCACGGAGAATGCTGAAGTATACTATGATTCAGCCACAGAAATAGCAATGAATTACTGATTGGCGTTCATAAACCTTTTCATTAATTACATACAGGGTGACTTTGAAGTTGAGTCATTAATTTTGTGTGTAAAAAAAATTAAAAAAAAATGTTACCTTGTTTTATAAAGTACCCTCCAGACAAGTATTTCAGTGCGGACCTGTATTTGATCGTGCGGTCTTGGAGCACCGGCATGCCCTCCCCTGTGAGGTCTCAAGTCACCTGATTCACGAGCCCTTTGTACTACATTAACAAAGGCACGAGGGGTTGGTTGCACTCGATTGGGAAACCGATCCGCATAAATCCGTGATGCCGCGGCAGCATTTTGTAAAGACTCCCCATCCCCCACCCGTAAATAAGAATCATGTCCACAAGTTCAGCATTTTCGTAAACATGTGCCATTTTTTATTTCGATTGAGCCACGCAACAAACACCACTATTCACTCACGCGTTACCGACTGACACATTGACTGAATACAACTGAATAAAATTGTAGTAAAAACATCGTGATACGCGTTTCAAATTCTTTCGCTTTTTTGTTTCCGATGCAATGAACCGATAAGGCGGATTATATCCGTTGTTGCCAAACACGAGCAGATAATATTATTATTGAGACAGGGCGGTACCAAACTTCTAAAGGGCTATAACTTTGTTACTCTAATTTTACCAGAAAAATGTTAAAGGAAAAAAACATTTCTTTTGATCAGATCTACTCACTGTTAAAATAAATGATTCAACTTCGAAGTCACCCTAATAAAAATTTGTGAGTAAATGAATTACAAATGGGATAAACTTTGATCGATTTTAATTCTTGTTTATCTGCCGTGGCCACGGACGAAGCTATAGCTTTTGTAAGTCCAAAATGTGGTGAAAC